AGGCCTTTTTTCCTAGTTATAAACTGTCAGGGCCGGCTGTGGCCATTTGGTTTTAATTGGAAACTGTCTCTTTAAATTTTGAGGAGATCTGTGCACATGCGTAGTAGAACCCTCCGAGGGTGGGGCTGTGGTGTCCACTAGCTCAGGCATCCCTATAGTCACTAGAATGGAGGTACACAGACAGCAAGGGACCAATGAACAGATACCAAAAGAAGAGAATGTCCACACCTCTATCTTCACAGCTCTGTCAGGCATCTGTGGCTGCTCTGATCCTTCCCCTACTTGACCCCACACAAGATGGTGGTTCCTGGAGCAGTTGAACATTCCGAACTAGAAAGCAATGGATTTCTTGCTTCTGCCACAAACTTCCCCAGCTGTAAGCCTTCCACCCCTCTAAATATTCCTTTATATGTGGTTCAGAGTTCTGGGACCATACCCTGAGCCTGCTTGGTCCTGTATTCTGTGTTGTTGCCGGCAGAGCGCCTCACTGCACTTCCACCCAATCCGCCATCTTGTTTGTTCTCCTCCACCAGTTGCATTCTGAGTGCCTTCCTACCTGATGGGTTCATCTTCTGGCACTATATCTGACAATGTTCTGTTGCTATTCAGATGGTTTACAGTGGCTAAATATTCAGAAGTAGTCTGCCTCTTTTAGTCTTGTCTTTATTTGGAAGCTCTGCTGAAACCTGTCCACCATGGTTTCCTCTGCTGGTATTTAAAATACTGGTGACATAGCTTCCAGCATCACAAAAATACACAAGCCACCACAGTATGTCAAGTTTACAGACAAGTGGTGAAAAACAGTTTTAGGTTGTAATAAATATTGTGAAGAATTACATCTCAGTTTCAAAGACTGATGGGTGAGAGAAGGCAGTGTGGACTGTCCTGCGGGAATATTATGAGTTGAACTGAACAGGATGGAAAACTAATAAATGAAAGTAGATCTTGTTAGTCATATGTATAAGGAGAATATCATAAGTCATCTTTATTATACATATTTCAGAATATTTTGTGTATTTTGGTGAAAAAAGGTGTTTTGACTGAATTAAATGAACATGTTACAGGGACTCAAGAGGTACACATAAGTTATTTTAAAGAGAAGAATTTGGGTTGATTTGGAAAGACAAGTGCATAGAGAACAATAGCAAGAGTGAATTATGGATAAAAGAAGGCATTCAGCTAGCACACTTGAGCACATACTATGCATGGTAGCTGCCTATTTCTTTTACTAACACGTCCTGATGATGGTGGTTATGTACCATGGGGTCGTTTCCGACTCATATAGCGACCCTGCATAGGGTTTCCGAGGCTGTAAATTTTTATGGGAGCAGAAAGCCTCATCTTTCTCCCGCAGCACTGCTGGTAGTTTCAAACTGCTAATTGTGAGGTTAGCAGCCCGACTCGTAACCACTATGCTACCAGTGCTCCTTTAACATGTCCTAGCTAACATAAATAAACCAAAATGCTCATGAACTTGTGTTACCTCTTGTTCTTCCAGCATCTTTGATGCATAGAAGGAAACACTAAGGAAAGCAAAGCAAAGAAATCAGTAAAATACCCAATAGTGCATATTTTTGCCTTGAAGGAGTAGGAATGGCTCATAATAAACTAGTTAAAGTGTGGTCAGTTTTATAATACGAGACATGGGATACTTTCTATTGGACTTGATAGTGTTAGGAAAGCCTTCACATAGAGATAACTGAACTGCTATCTTGCTGAGGAATGGATGATGGGTAAAGTCTGAGAAAAGCAGGCCAGGCAAAGGGAGAGGCATATGCAAAGGGGTCAGAGACACTGCAGAATGTTTCCTAAGACTTAAATAATAGTCTGTGGAAGAACGGTAGATACAGCTAGAAAGATATGTTGGTACCAGAACAAGAAGGGCATTTAGGGGTTTGAAGTTTATCCTTAGGAGATGGGGAGCTTTTGAAAAATTTTTGAACAGTGAAATAATACTCCAAACAATGATAATAGACTGCAGTTTCAATGCTACGTAATGATTAATGGACATCTCACACTTAATGTGCCCCTAAAACTAACTCCTGATTTCTCCCGCTAGCACTTGCTGCTTCTGCCTTTCCTCTATTATCAGTAAACTTTATTTTTCAACTTGTTTAGTGCAGTCATTCTTGACTTCACTTTTTCTTATATCTCACAATCAATCTATTAGCATATCCATTGTTTTCTCCTTTACAAAAGACCCAGAATTTATCTATTACTACTCCTGTCACCCTAGTGACTGGATTATTACAAAAGCTTCCTTCCTAACTGGTCCCCCTGCATCCAGTCTTGTTTCTCTACAGTACTAGGGTAAGTCAAAAAAGTATTGCTACTAGGGATTCCAGGTCACATGCTTGGGTTCATTCCAAACAAAATGTGTTTAAACATGTTTTTGTGATCAGTGAATGATTGCAGACAAGTTCTCGTAGTAATATACTTGTCTTCATCTTGTTAGAG